AGCTGCTCTTCCAAGTGGTACTCCGCATCATCAATCTCAGCCTGGAGGGTATCCGTGTTCTGTTGCTGAGAAGGTTCGGGTGTCTTTGATGGGCTCTTGCTAGCAGGCTCTTCCTCGTCTTCGCGAACCTCTTCCAGGCGGGGTGAGTTTCGAGCAGGCTGCAAATATGAGAATTGCTGATGAGGTAGCATGGGATATTGTAGAGACTGGTGACGCTGGTGCAGGTTCATGGCAGCAGGGCTCTCTGCTCCGAAAGGGGATTGTGGAGTCATCATGCCCATGAGAGAAGGCGAATCATGGCGGTTAAGCCCTGGCCAACCCGATGGAGATTGTTGTTGGAAGCCAAATGGCGAGCTGTTGGCAGGGAACGAGATGGATTGCCGCGGGTTGAATTTACTGGGCATACCAGCGAAAGAAAGTGGTGAGGCACCATGAGAAAGACCCGGACTGTGCGTCGAGGGCCGTACGAAATGGCCTGGTTGGAATCCCGGCATACCATGGTTGCTTGAGGCTGATGATGTGGGTAGGGGAGGAGAAAATGGAAGAGGAGGATACTGAGCCGAGGGTTGACGGCTGAGATCGGTTGTTGCAGGAGAGATAGAAGGTTGCTCAGGCTCATCATCACCAAAAGATACACCAAGCGCTCGCAGCTTCGCTTCCTGAAGCTCATTCATATAGTCTTTCCAAGCATTCAAATCGGGAAGAGTAACTTTGAAGCTGCGCTCTTCCCTCTCTTTAACCACCTCATCAAAATCTGGCCAGGAATCTCGAGTTTGAGAATCCGCTGTGCCTTCAACCTGATGGCCTTCAACTTCCAAGTCAAAGCCTGAAATGTCATATCCGAGCTCTTCCCATGATGAAAACATCCTCTCTATCTCATCTTGGCGCAAAGGCATGGGCGCTTGGCCAGGTTGGCCTCGTTCAGTGTCTCGTGGTATGAGAACCATGATGTTCTTGCCTCTCCATGGAACCTTCTTTTTTAGTCGAGGTGTTGGTGCCGGTTCTTTAGGAAGAGGTTTTTGAGTGCCCTTCATCGGCGTTGCAGGCAGCGCTGGCTCCCCATTGACGGTAGCACTAGGGACACGCTTCTTTGGACTTTCTGCGACAGGTACATCCGGGGTGGAGGCGGCCTGAGACCTGTCGCTCGCCGCATCGTGCGTTACTGGCGCGGCTTCGGAGGTCGCCATACTGCTATTCTGTCCCGTTTTGGGACTGAGAGAATCTCCTGGTCGGAGAGTCTCGATGCTAGATCTGGCCCGTGGATGGTGTCCAGATCCTTCTCGAGACAGATCCCTTGTTCTCTGATTGGGTCGGGGAGTGCGCGCTTCGCCCTCTTCCAACCATCCAGGTTCAGAGCCGCTCACCGAAGAGTGCTCGCTCCCACTTCCGTCACTAAACCAGTGTCGACTCTCTTCGTTTGGGTCGTCAGTGGTGTGCGTACGTATCCAATCCTCAGTAAGACCACGAGTCTGCCGTCGAGCACGATTCGCGAGGACGGCGGCGGCAGCACTCAGCGAAGAGCCTGGCGGGTCGGACTGTGAACGTAGTAGATCAGGAATTGGGCGCAGGAAAGGGGTCTCGATGTCCAGGTGATGAATTGGAGAGTCGTCCGAGGCTTCACTTCCAGAGCTATGACGACGAAGGTTGCGATCTGACTGGGGATATGGAGAGCCCCAGCTGGCGGTACCAAACTGCGTTTCGTCGGGAGGTGGTGTCCTCAAAAATTGTAAAGCTCTTTCCGGTAGTCGAGGAGCTTGAAGCGGAGGAAGAACTGGCGAAGACTCGATCTCCTCTTCGCCGTCAACAGTTGACGTATTCGAAAGTGTAGGAGAAGCCGGTGAGGCAGGGCGGGATCGAGAGTATGAGGCTCCGTGACCGTCCTGTGCGGATGCACCAGGAGGAGCAGCCGACAACGTTGTAGAAGACGTCTTTACAGTGGCCTGTTTGTTTGGTGGCGGACCCGGTCAGCAACTGTGAGTTATGCAGTGGCGTCTGGAGATGAATGTGTGCTCTGCCAGCTCATACATGTCCAAGACCAAAATAAGGAAAATGTGTCGGTTTACTCACCCAGGGAGATCAGTGCAGACTAAGAATATGTCTGCAGCTGAGTCTCAAATAGAGCCAGTCCTTTCTCTCAGGGTCGGTCGCTCAATTGAAAAGCCGATCTCGAAGGCCTGAGGGAGGGGACACAGGTTTGCGAAACCGTAATCGTGGCCGGTATTTCCTAACGGTCGAGAAATACTTGAATACTACGCGACGCGTTGTCCAACTTTAAGGGGGCGGACGGAATGACGGTTTGCCTCGAGAGCTATTTAGGTGGGAAATTTCCGGGGTGTGGAAACTGACTTCCAGGGGTGCCGCGCGAAATACAGTAATAGAAAAAAAAAAGTGTCTATCGAGAACCTAACAAAAGAGCTTCATGAGAGAGAAAAAAGAGTGGCCAGAAGACGCAAAGATGAGAAAAGGATGATGCCGGCCGGGCACATCGGGGTTTTGGGAATGTTGTCAGTTGCGAAGTTGGGCGGACAGCATTAACGGGAAGAAGTAGGAAAAGGACAAGATGGGAGGAGTTGCGTGGGAGAGACACGGTTGAGCAAATTGAAGATGTCTCTCATTCGAGGGGCGCGATATGAGATTAGATGAGCCCTCGAGAGCTTTGTTCGATAATGAGTGGACAAGGCAGCTCAAAACTTCATGCTAACTTGGACTAGGTAGAGTCAAGAGAGGGTCGAGTACCATGTGTCTGTGCCTGCACATGCAGCTGCCTCTGGTGTCGGTGGTCGTTTTCTCGCACCTGCGCTGGTCGGCGGCCACTTCCAAGTTTGGGCGTGTGTGCTGGCCCAGCTTTTCCTTCTTCGTGACGCTGTAGAGCACGAGGATTGACAGCAAATCATCCAATTCAGACACTGAACAGTTGGCCACTGAAGAATCGCTGTACATAGCCTAGGTAGCTAGCCTCGTCCGCACTCCACAGCGAACATCTTCAAGGGGGAGCTATTCTGTAATGAGACCCGCTCTCGTCGGTACCCGCACTGGTCACGACGTAATTTCGCCAAGGGCCTCTGGCATCTTGGAAGAAGTTCGAAGCGAAGAACTCGACAGACGATAGGTTGGTAGGGGATACCTTTGTCTGCATTGCGAATTGCGCTTTGATGATGTATCATTCATCATTTCCATATGTCGTAACTAGCAGTTTCAACACACGACTCGTCTTCAGCATTCTGGAGCACGACAACTGGTCGAGGTCGAGTACTGGCGGCTGCGACGTTGTCACTAAGGCTTCTCTTTATTTGCTCGTGATTTATTACCTTCAAATTAGAGCAGCAGATATGGCATTACTGGCCTACAGCGCCTGTGTCACTACCACACCACTGTTGAACACGGGTTCCGATACTCTTCTATTTCTTCTTCCATGGTTCGAGGATGAACATGCCTGCACAGTCCCATCCATTTTAGGACAAGTGGGTTGGCATTGAATCAGTCCAGGTCAATTATTTCCCCGGAGTTTAACTCTGGTCCAGTTTGACAACTCACCATACTATGTACATACCTCCCTGGCCGACCTTACCTCGTAACTACTAATCATCGTGCTATCAACCGACGGAATGAGAGTTTTAAAATCATGCCCACCTACAATAACTCCAAAACCTTCCTTTCTTGTACTGAGATCTTATGAATTCAAAGGTCTTTTTTTTTTGCCCCTTTTTTTTTTTGCTTACCTCTCCACTAGGACCCTTAAAAAGGTCGGGACCGCATCCGCCCGTACCTTGAGCTAGCTTGGGCCTCCACCGTCGCTAACCTTTGGAATGCCAGTTCAGGAACCCGGGCTGTCGGCCTTTCCACTTCAGGCCTACAAGGGCTTCTATGCTAGGCCAGGGCTAAGCTCAAAGTGAGCTGAATCTGGCGCAGCCCGAGTTTGGTGCTCTTACCCTATATCAAATATACAGATGCTGTTTGGTACCAATACGTATTTATGGTCCTTCATATTGAAAGTGCTAATCTACCTTTGAGCCCCTTCGATGAGCTCGTTCTTCTGGACTTACTTGACTTACTTAGTGTGGCATGTACCGCAAATGAAAGGCCCCAGTTCCCAGTCTGGGATACGCTTACAGTGCATACGCACGAAATGCTCAATCATAAGTGTCATTTTACGAGCGACACAGCAGCCGCTAAACAGTGATTTAAAATAAAGTGCCACACAAGCAACAAATTTAGATATCCATGGCCCAAAAATGTAGGATATATTCGGATAGACCTATACTACTCAAAGGAAGAGATGTTTTCATTGTTGTTAATGTGAGCATGATGCTCTGCACCGTTATTAGATAGGTGCTCGAGGCAATTCACACGAAGTCCACAACATTAAATAGAGCAAGATGGGAGAGCAAGTCCTCACCACAGAGCTTGTCATCTAATAAAGCCTTGACGACGCAGGAGAAAGTTTCGACTCCTAGCCCAACCAGATATTAAAGGCACTGTCAAATCAACAATAACCGGCCTCATCGTACGTTTGGAGGAACACGGCTTCACGTACACACTCACAAAGATCCATCTCACTCATGCTTGACCTTAAGGACGCATTATACAAGCCAGACTTGAGATATTATTAATTGAGTTTCTACATACAACAATCCCATTATGTAGAGGATGATTGGCTTGGCTGCGGGAGGGAAGAAGTATATGTTATATGCAGTATGAGCAAGCCCAGACAACTCAAAAACTGGCACCACGAACCAGATCATGCATGCTGCAAATAATTTCCCCCGAGTACCGCAAAGTTCTGGAACCAGGGATATATGCTGCTTCAGCCGATTGCAGCCGTGACTTTCGTTATCAAATTCGTACAGCACTTTCTATATGACTCCCCTGTGAAAAATATTCGTGTCCGAAACGCCTATGACCTCCATGACCTCCATCGAAACGGATGGTGGAAAATATGAAAATAAAGGGAAAGAGAATGCTTTTTATCAATGATGCAAAGGAAATATGAGATTCCGTCGTTAAAAGTTGGACGAGGCGTTCACGGGTGTTGGTTGGTGATAAGTGTCTAGCGTGGATTGGAATGGGCTGCGTTGAGGCCCTGAGCTCCCGACACTACCGTACTCAGTCTTCTCAACGCTGTGATAAGGGCCGTTGCTGCTAGGACGGCTATTGTTCTCATTGAAGTCCATGAGACCATCGGCTTCCTCTTGGTGCTTCTTGCGGCCCCAAATTCGCCATGCGACCAGGCCAAGGGCACCAACGACAATTGCGCCACCAATACCGACAACAACTCCAATGACTGTGTTGCGGGTCTTGGCCGACATGCCTGAAGAGCTCCCGTCGTCATCACCGTCACTCAGACCAGGTGTTGACGTAGACACACTCGTAGTGGTCATGGTCTCAAGGTTACCATCGCTGTTTGTCCTTGTGACGACGGCGACGTGTGTAGAGGTAACAGGCTTAGCAGTAGTTTGGGTGTTCTTATCGGCGGCAGTGCTGGAAGCCTCGTCGTTGTTCTCGCTGGCGGTGCTACTGGCGTCGTCACTGTTCTGGTTGTTGCTGGAGGTGCTGGTGGCTGCTGGGGAGTTGGCTGTCGACTGAGCAGCAGTTTTGGCGTCAGTAGCAGAAGCCGATGACTCGACGTTGTCGGTAGCTTCAGATTGGGTGGCAGCGGCTGTCTCGGAGGCCTTGCTATCAGCAGCACTGGACTTCTCAGCGGGCTTGCTGGTTGGAGAAGCGTTTGTGGGGGAGGTATCAGCAGCGGTTGTCTTTGCAGAATCGTTGTTGGTAGGCTCAGCATCAGTGGCAGATGCTTTTGTTTGGTCGTTGGTAGCCTGAGTAGGCCCAGCATCGGTTTTGGCAGAGTCATCCGAGGTAGGGTCAGCTGCATCAGTAGGAGCAGGATCGGATGCTGAGTCTGCTTGAGTAGCTGAAGGGTTGCTGTCAGATGCAGTTGCGCTTGGTTGTGAGTCATCGGACTGGCTTGGGCTTGCTCTGCGGACGAGTCGACGCTCCCGCAAGTGAATCTTGTTGATATCAATCCATGATGCCTGAGCGACGCAGACAACGGCAAGCGCTACCATTAGCAGCTTTACAAGGCGTGTCATGTACATGGCGGCTGAGGTTGTGGAGTGTCGCGAAAAGAAAGGTTGACTGGGTAGGCAGGATATGCCAGCTGAGATATGTAGAGGTTGTCGTCCTGGCTCACAACTACCAAGGGGAACGAAGGCGTGATGGCGCTTTAAACTGGTCGCTGACGCGAACTTCGGAGCGAAACACTGCCAAGTGAGGAATCTGGATATCCGTGATCAAGAGTTGTGTCAAATCGTCGTTTGTGACTACCTGAACGAATAGGCGTGAGACCAAGAATAACAAAACTGTTTCTGTATCTGTAGTGGATAGAGTCGTTTGATGCAAATGAGTTGCGTGAGCGAGAGTGAGATCGACGAGCCAAGGCTGAGCTGAGATACGATGTTAAATTAAACGATAGAGGAAATAACAAAGACAGAAAAGCGAGAGTGAGTAATACGAAGGTGAATGGAGTCACGAGAGTAAAGATTGTGTGACGGCACCGACGGGAATTGAGACTTATAAAGGGACAAGGGCAGGCAGACAAAGAAAAAAAATATGGGTAAACTTGATGGATGGATCATGGATGGATAGATGGAATGGAAAGATGGGTCAGAGACTTGTGAGGTCTTCTCGTATTTGCATGCATGGATCCGGTGGTACTGGATGGAGGCTGTGCTTGCCCTAGCAGACTGCGCAGGCCACTGCTGAGGTCGGCTGCGTTTGGGTGACATGCGCCAAAACTTCACCTAAAGAGCCGCCTAAGACCACCTACCTACTAGGTACCTAACCGAAACAGACAGCCCGTTGGTGGCCACTGGCGGCCACACTGATACGGACGTGTCTAGACCATGCTCGAAGCTTAGGTTTACCAGTGGAGGACTTTCGATTTTTTTTTAAGGTTGCCCGTGCCGATATGGAACTTCAGTCAAAAAGCCACATAACAGAGCCAGCGTTTCGTCTCGGTAGATGTCACTGACCGATTCGACTACGGCCTGTCTATGCCATTTTTTTTTTTTTGGGGCGATCTATTGCTTCTGTTTCTGCACGGTCCCCTGAGCGACACACATGGATGATTTGTTTTTATATGCAAGTGCGCTGCTGTTACTGACAGGAAGACACCAGTTAGGTAAGGTACCTATTTGCCGACGATATATGAATGAGACATTCCTGACTCCTCCAAATTGGTATAGCTTGACGTCCTTTTTCACATCAGGCTCTCTTCATAAAGCGTTGTGTTCCTCACCATAGCCTACTCAGCTATACTCCGTATGCTTCACAGCTTTCAAGTCAACTGGCTAGTAGAGGTATAACATCCATCTCGAATGGGTCTCCTACCCCTGTCAACCAGCCCTCTAGGAGTCGTCGTCATCACCCTTCTTCTGCACTCAACTGCTCACATGTCGGTAGACGCCCAGACGCCATGAACAAACGGCTCCCTCCAGGCCCTGGCCCATTCTTATGACATAGCTCATCGTCAGGGTCTTGTCAACGAAATTACAGTATTATCTCCATCAAGTGATTATCCACTCTGTCATTGTCTGGGGGATCAAAGACGAAGCAATAAACGGGAGGCTGGCGTCGTCCGATGGGGAAACGGGCATCGCGCATGGATGTATGGGATAGGTAAGGCATCCCCTAAAAAGATACGTATCCATTCAAAAATAGCATCGACCCACCAAAGAACCTGATCCCCCCGGAACGCCATGCCAAAAACTCCCCGTCTTCCCGGATCGCCAATCATACCGTACCTTAGGAAGATATCTATCCGTACGGAGCACTTGTTCTTTCGTTCTTGGTCTTTTCAGCCGTCTCCATTGTCGTCATGCTATTGCTCCCTAGAAGATCTTATAGCCATGAGAAATCCACCTACTACAGCATATCATCGAGGTTGTCTCTTGTTCTTAATTTACAGCATCATGCTAGACCTCCATCTCTCCCCACGTACTAAAACGACAACTGTCTGAGAAGCGTGGTAGTGTTCCCAAGGCCTCTGCCCCTGTGGCCCTTCATGGTTCCATGTGGAGGTGTGACTTGTCATCAAGTTCCTCCTTGCTTATGGTGGTGTGAAGGATTTTTACTACGTAGTCACGCTTTGTTGATAGTCAGACCAGCGCAAATACTGTATCGCCAACCTCGCTTCCTACAGACAAGTCTCATCAACCCCTCAGATCCTTTCTCGTGGTCTCGTCTGTTGATTTGTTTCATATCGAGAGTCGGGCAGTAACGTGTCTTTCATGTTACGTCACTCTACCTGGATCCTTTTGTCGATCTGTGCGAGGCTGTGTCGGGAATCATGGGGATGCTTAATATCAGCCCAACTAATCCCTTTCTTCTGCCCCTATCTCGTAGCCGAAGCCTTCCAGGTCATACCCACAAGAAGCAGGGCTAAGCAAGCACTAGATGGGCAGGCGGAGGACGAGCGAACTAGCTCAGTCTGCTGTCTGTCATGAGGTTATCCGGACTGTTTCATACACACGATAGTTAATGGTTTCAACGGAGAAGCACAGACACTAAGTCATTAAATAGTATTGCACTATGAGAATTGCATTTCCTATCGACACCTCTCCCTGGACGGGTTAACGATGCGCTGTAAGATAGTAAAGCTAAGATATTGAATCACACATCGCCTAAAAAGACCATGCTTTTCAACAACAAACTACCAAGATTAACACAAACTCCAGCACTGGAGGATGTAGCTGTCAAGTCTGATAACACTTCCCACATGGTCGTAAGAATGTACACGCAATTTCTTAGAATGAAAGACAGTGTGTGACTGATTGAATGAATGAATGAACGAAGGAATGCGTGTGGACGCTGTGGGCCAATTCCAGTACTCCAAGGAAAGGCTGCCTTTACCCGAAAACGCCAAGCAGTAAAAGAATCAATGAAATTGTAAACCATTTTTTATCATATATGGTATCTCGATGAAATCAAAGAACTAGGCGAGCCAACTGTTGAGGCTCTGAGCTACTGGCTCCATATAGGAACGTTTCGATATGCTGGGGAGTTATAGCTGTGGAGGACCCGAAAAGGGGGATCTTGAACGTACATCCCACCCTGGGAACCCTGTCTACCATGAACATGATGATTTGGGACTGGGCTTGTAACGTATATGTTTGGGTATTGTTGAACCATGTTTGGTGCACCATAGACAAGCGCTTGATTCTGCATTATATAGTTCTGCTGCAGTTGCTGATTGAGGCTGTGCATGTCCATTGGGGCCCATGATTGGACAGATGTTCGAGGTCGTCGTTGTTGATGTTGCTGTAGCATCTGCTGCTGATGCATCTGCTGCTGCTGTATTTGTTTAAGTGTAGTGCTGCTCCGAGAGCGCGCCATGTTTGCATTTTGGTGCGGCTGCGCAGGTGCTGATACTCGCCGGTGATGCTTGACTTTTTGGGCAGCATGACCACTCTCTTGCGTACCATTACTCGAGTATGACAAAACTCTGGAGTGTTGAACAGCATTGACTTGCTGGGAGCTTAAACCCGCGGTAGGACTCATGGCCATGCCTCGACTGGAGCTGCGTGACTCGGTACGGCCATGCGAGATCTGACGGCTATGTGGTGTCATGCGACCATAATCTTGGGGTAACGACAGTCGACGACTGGCGCTCGGACGGGAGTTAATAGGGAAAGAAGGTGTCATAGCTCGATTTTGCGCCTGTGACTTTGCTTTAGGAGGCTTACTGCCTCGATTCTGCATACTCACCGGTGGTGAAGTCTTTGTTCGCAGTGTCTGATCCATCTCAAGCACAGATGGGCTCAGGGATGATCGACGTTTCGCTGACAAGTTAGGTGCGGAAACATTGGTACGAAGATGGGCTAACTCTGGTTTGTCGCGGCTCTCCTGTATGCTTGACTTGTTGGCCATCTTCCGGGTCTCTAGAGCCAAGCTGCCAGAGCTACTGGCAGCTTTTCTTGGTGCCGGACGAGATGACCACGAGCTCACAGCTCGAGGGCTGGGAGCCGCATTAAAAGAACGAGAAGTTAGCTCCATGGCAGTTGATGGGCGCCTTGGTATGGGCTCAGGCTCAGGTATGGAACTCAAGGCAGGGCTAGCGTCCGCGCTTCGAGAACCAAATAACTGAGCAATTGATTGGCGCCACGATTGACGTCGAGACATCTTCTTGATAACGGTCTTCTTGACCCCTCGCGTTACGTCCTCCCCGCGTCTTGTACTCCCAATTGCATCCTGGCTCCCAACACTCATAATAGTATGCAGAGTGTCCTTGCTCGGCTCCTTTCGAAGCGAAGGTCGGTTGGGGTTAGGTATGGAGCCTGTCTTTAGCCCTAAAGGATCGGTGGTGACTTCCTGTTCGATCGTAGTCACCGCCCCTGTCTTTAGGGACCCCTTCTTGCGGGAGGCATTCAGGAACCTGTATATCCTACTGCCACCACGACCAACATCTGCGGTTGGTGACGGTAGCTGTTCCTGAAAGTCTCCTTTAGAAAGGACGATTGGCGATGTCGCAGTGTGCGACACCCGTGGCTCGAAACTCTTGTTTGATTTCAACGAAGAGAGGCGCATGCGGCTACCACGACTAAACGGCGAGAATGGACGACTAGCAGGGCTCGAGGGGCTTGTTGGACAAGTCGAAGAGGTATCATCATCTGTCGACGACAACGGGACCTCGAGATGGATAGGCAGCCGGTTACGTGTCTGAGAAGGCACTAAGGAAGAAGTTCGAGTCGAATTCGAATCCGAGGGCGAACACATCCCGGACATGTCCACGTCAAGCTTTTCGGAGGTCATGGTGTTCTTGTCCGTGACACCGGATCTCAGGCTGGGCAACGATCGGAGAGAGACATTGGAACTGTAACCACTATCGACTCGAGACGCAGAGCGGTGAGTTTTCTCCGACGAAGGACTTGGAATGAAGCCACTATCAGATCTTGACAGTCCTTTAAGCATTTTGTTTTCGAGTCCAAGTTGCATTTTCTTGGGGTCGGGCTTTGCATTTGGATCTTCCCTTACGTGCAGAACCTCAGCAACCGGAAATGAGACAGCATTCCCGTTCCCAGACATTCCGCCATCGGCT